GATCCCACGCTGGCAATTGCGGTGTGGGGACTCACCTGGCAGCCCAGTTAGTCCCCCTCCTTCCTTTCTGGCCCCTCGCGATCACATGGACGGCATAGCCATCCATAGCAATGCCAGCAGGGGGAGTGCCTGTAATGACAGGTACTCCCCCTGCTGCCTGTAAATAGTAAAATAAATGTTAAAGATACAGTTTAAAATAAAATATATACTTAGATCATATATATATATATATACACATATACATACATACACATACACTAAGTGTATTTTAATATTAATATATATATATATATAATTATATATATTAATATCAAAATCTACATAGAATGATATTGATTAAATATATATGTAATTATCATTATATATATATATATATATATATGATTTAAAAAAGTTAATAAAAAATAAAAATATATATATATGCATAAATTTGTTCTAACTGTGTTTTAAAATTAATATATATATTGATATCAAAATACATGTTGAACAAAATAATATATATCTATCTATATACATAAGTATATACGTTTATATCACTATATATATATATACCTATATATAAATAAAAATAATTGTAAAAAATTATATATATATATATATATATATATATATATATATATGCAAACGTTTATATATAATAATTCTACCTATATATTTATGTAATAATTTTACATAATTAGGTCATTTTATTAATTACAATTTGCGGGACCTGCCTGACAACCCAGGCCAAAAGTCCAGGGAATTTAATTTGCTAGCACTATATTTAACCCTGTAACTTTCCAAGACACCATAAAACCTGTACATGGGGGTTACTGTTTTACTCGGAAGACTTCGCTGAACACAAATATTAGTGTTTCAAAACAGTAACATTTATTACAATGATGATATCGTCAATGAAAGTGACATTATTTGCATTTGTCACGCACAAATGGCACTTACACAGACAATATAATTGCTGTGATACGTTTTACTGTTTTAAAACACTAATATTTGTGTTCAGCGAAGTCTCCAGAGTATAACAGTACCAATCATGTACAGGTTTTATGGTGTTTTCAAAAGTTACAGAGTCAAATATAAGGCTTGCATTTCAGTTTTTTCACATTGAAATTCTCCAGGTTGGTTATGTTGCGTTTGAGACCATATGGTAGCCCAGGAATGAAAATTACTACCATGATGGCATACCACTTGCAATAGTAGACAACCCAAGGTATTGCAAATGGGGTATGTCCAGTCTTTTTTAGTATCCACTTAGTCACAAACAATGGTCAAAATTGGCATTCAAATTAGTTTTTGCATTTTTCACACACAAACAAATATTAACACTACCTTGGGTTGTCTACTTTGCAAATGGTATGCCATCATGGGGGTAGTTCTCTCTCCTGGGCTACCATACGGTCTCAAAGGCAACATAACCAATCTGGCTAATTTCAATGTGTGTGTACAAATATGTGTATTTTATTGCAGTAAAAGCAAACAGTATTATGACATTCACAATTAAAATGCCACGTAGAACTAAATCTTTTTACAAAAATTCTTATTTTCTCCCATTTTTTTATATTTCATTCATATTAAATTATGTTTCATACCTAAATATTTGATGTTAAATGAAAGCCCTGTTTCCCCTGAATAAAATGATAGATAATAAGTGTGGGTGCACATGAACAGACTTATAGCGCAAATTCAAGTTTCTGTTTACGTTTTGTTTTGATCACAATGTGTACATTTGGCTCAGTCCTTAAGGGGTTAAAGGGTAGATGTCTGCTTTAGGTGTTTTACTGTGTTTGATAATATGGTTAGTGCTACTTTTAGTCTACATGAGTCTTCAGGGAGTGTGGAATCAGTGATGTAACAAGAAATCAATGGAGTCATCTCCTCGTTCTGTTACATACACGCTGCTCATGTGTCAGGATCTGGCAGGCGTTGAACTCTGGGCTGGGTTATTACTGTCTTTTTACTTGTGTGCTGCTCGGTATAAAAAACCGGCTGACAAAAGCAAGGCTTTTTATAATGATGTTGTGAACAAAAAAAGTATGCTATTACTCAGAGGCGTACCTAGGTCAATTGCCTCCGCCGGCAGATCTGTATGTGTGTGTCACTCAGCACCCCATCATCCCATTATTGGTATCACCATTTATGTATATTTCTCCTAATCCCCCCTTTCACCCACTTGTGTGTCCCTTAAGAGACACAAGTGGCTTATTGTGTCAATCTTGAAACCCCCTTTACTGCTTTTTTGCCCCCCTCCCCCACATACATACACTGTGGTATGCATATGATAAAAGCTAACACATACATGCAGACACATTCATATGTACAGACACACAATCTCACACAGTCACAAGATACATAATTACACATTTATACACACATTCACATACATACACACAGATGCACACAGTCACACACTTACAATATGTCACATACAGTCACGTGCACATAGACAGCCACACTCACACACCACATACATACATAGTCACACACACAGTAAAACACAGCGACAGGCATACAGATATCAATACTGCCCCCTAACTTTCATGGTAATAGAGGGGATGGGGGGGAGAAGGTTGGAGTGGAGTACAGTCCTTTGTGCTTAGTGGTTGGGGAAGTAGAGACTCCTTACTAATTCCAATGCTATGTCATACAGGACAAGTTTGTTGAATTTCACTCATAGGGAATCCCCCAAAATACATCAGGAAGGGTCTAGTTTTCTTTAAAACATAAGACAAAGTAGGGACTACACTTGACTTTATTTGAACAAAGGATAAATATAAGTCAGCTCCATTTCCTGTGTACAAGAAAGTAGTCCCTACTTTGTCTTATGTTTTAAAGACAACTAGATCAGAAATAAAGAAAAGAAGAACATATTCTGAGAGAGGAAGAGACGAGGAAACAATAGGAGAAAGGTAAGTTTGGCGTGACAGTGCCGCTTTAAGGATACAAAATAAGGTATCTGCTAAACAGCGCCATAATTAGGTATCCTTAAAGGGATACTCAAATACCTGCTCAAACACAAAAACAATACCCCTTTCATCAGGTATATCTAAAAATACCTTGCATTACTTCATTTGCAAGTCCTCCATATCTAACCCCACTCAGATTTTCTGTGGCTGTCCAATAACAGATATCCTTATGCAGCTCAATAAGAAGTCTTTGCAGGCTGGTGCTTTGAGCAATTGCTGCCTCTTGAGTTGAGCTCCACTGCGCTTAAAGGATCACAATAGTGTCAGCAAAACAAAGCGGTTTTCCTGACACTATAGTGCCCTGAGGGAGCCCCCATCTTCAGGGTCCCCCTCCCACGGCGCTGAAGGGGTTAAAACCCCTTCAGCAGCTTACCTTAACCCAGCGCTGGGCTCCCTAAGCGCTGGTGACCTCTGGTGGTCTGGGTGACTATAGTGTCCCTTTAACTACCAGGATGTAATAGGAGTGGCTGTCTGTTTGGCAGCCAGAGGTGTGTAACAATGGTAAGTTATAAAAGTGGCATTTTCTATTGAAATCAAGCTGAAGTGCTTTAGAAGTCTGCAGTGTCCTTATATATATGTCAATCCTACATACGGGTACAAAATTAGGCAGCTATCTTCTAAATAGGTGAAAGAGCATAATTAAGTAAATTCGTTTTCTTAATTTTGATCATTCCACTGTTTAGTGTATATGACTCCCTAATTTGCTATCCTTAAATGGGATTGCCATATTTAAGACTACCATATTAGGGCACTGTTTAGCATATAGCTCACTCATTTGATATTCTTATACGTAAGTATAGCGAATTGGGGAGTCATCTACTAAACAGCAAAAAAAAATCGAATTTATTTAAAAAAAGAGCCTTTTATTAAATGTGATCTTTCAGCTTTATTTAGTAGATAGCTCCCTGAGTTGGTACCCTTAATTATGGCTATCCCATGTAAAGATTCTACATTAGGCAGCAATCAACTAAACAGCTGAGCGGGCAACATTTTTAAAAAGCACTTTTTCTTAATTTTGCTGTTTCATGTGCTTCGCAGATACGTCCCTAAATGTCTATTCTAATAAAAATGAATAGATCTGAAATAATTGGTTTTGATTAATTCTGAAACATTCGATTTTGTTTTGTTATGGTTTGTAAAGAATAAAGAATGTGGAAATTCTGACTCTTGCGATTTGCTGAATTTGGAGTAAATCCGATTTGGAACAAAATTAATTGCACATGTCTAATAAAAAAAAAATAAAGAAACGTAATGATTGCATGATAACTACAAGATTTACTTTACTTTCTAATCTTGTCTCATTATATCCTCTTATAGCATAGCATAATTAACTACTCGGGGTTATTCATTAAACAGTGATAGTGTTGGGAAATTTAAATTCTTAAAAAGCAAAAACATTGATGTGGGATTTCCTTATTTATTACATATACGATGTTGTGTTAGCCTAGGGACGGACTGACAGCTTTCTGGGCCCCCGGGCAAAATTACATCCTGGGTAGTTGTATTAGAAAAATTCTCCAAGTCAATTTTGTTGCTCAATTTGATTATTTAGGCATCTAATTTGAAATTCAGTTTCAACTTCAGGCAATTCTTGATCCTTGTGTCAAAGTAGGAGTATATGTGTGTGTGTGTATTGCTGATGTGCGTAAACCCTACAATATAATTTGTGTAGGGTGTAGTGCCGGAGTATATAATGCAGACGTGCATGTAGCGTAAATGTGTAAATGCATTGTTCCATGAGTAAGTAGAGCAGATGTTTGTAAAAGCAGAAGTGTATTTGTATGGAATGTTTATGTTACATAGTTACATAGCTGAAAAGAGACTTGCGTCCATCAAGTTCAGCCTTCCTCACATTTGTATTTTGCTGTTGATCAAAAAGAAGGCAAAAAAACCCAGTTTGAAGCACTTTAAAATTTGCAACAAACTAGAAAAAAAATTCCCTCTTGACCCCAGAATGGTAGTCAGATTTATCGTTGGATCAAGCAGCTATTACCCTACTTTGAAAAATTATATCCTTGAATATTCTGTTTTTGCAAGTATGCATCTAGTAGCTGTTTGAACATCTGTATGGACTCTGATAAAACCACTTCTTCACGCAGATAATTCCACATACTTATTGTTCATACAGTAAAAAAAACCTTTCCTTTGCGTTAGACAAAATCTTCTTTCTTCCAGTCTAAACGCATGACCTCGTGTCCCATGAAAAGTCCTGTTTGTGAATAGATTTCAACACAATGGTTTGTATTGGCCCCAAATATATTTGTGTAATGTTATCGTATCCCCTCTAGGGCAACGTTTTTCTAAACTAAAGAGGTTTAAATGTGTTAACCTTTCTTCATAGCTGACATATTCCATTCCTTTTATTAATTTTGTAGCCCGCCTCTGCACTTTTTCTAGTGCCATAATATCCTTCTTTAGAACAGGTGCCCAAAATTGCACAGCATATTCAATATGAGGTCTTTCCAGTGATTTATAAAGAGGCAAAATGATATTCTCATCCCGAGAATGAATGCCCTTTTTCATGGATGACAATACCTTACTGGCCTTAGCCACTGCTGATTGACATTGCACATTGGTCTATAACAATCCCCTAGTCCTTTTCGTGTGTTGTTATCCCTAATTCGCTTCCATTAAGGGTATACGTTGCTTGTGCATTCTTTATGCCAAAGTGCAAAACTTTGCATTTTTCAACATTAAATTTCATCTGCCACTTGAGTGCCTAGTCCCCCAGTCTATCTAAATCCCTCTGCAGCAAAGTAATATCTTGCTCACATTGTATTACTTTACAGAGTTTTGTGTCATCTGCAAACACTGAAACATGACTTTCAATGCTTTTTTCAAGCTCATTTATAAAGATGTTAAATAGAAGGGGTCCCAGAACAGAACCCTGAGGGACACTACTTGCCACCTATGTCCAGCTTGAAAATGTACCATTAATGACAACTCTTTGTACTCTATTTTTAAGCCAATGTTTTATCCAAGAACAAGCATTTTCATCTAGACCGATTCCTAGAGTTTGAACACTAATCTATGTGTGAATGAAAGGGTGTATTTATGTTGAATGTGAATGCAGTAATTTATTTTTGTGGAGGACTTGTGTGTACACAGGGGAATGTTGATGTATGAATGCCAGTGTATTAGTGTGGAAACTCTGCATTTGAATGCCAGGATAGATTTATATGGATTGTCAGCGCGTGAATGCAGTATGTTTGAGCAGTGTGTATGTGAATGCTGGAGTGTATTTGTATGTGTACAGAGTGTAAGTGTGTGTGTGTGAATGAGGGGTGTATCTAGAATTCATGTCAGAGTGTGCTGGTGTATTTGAAACTTGTATCAGTTTGTATGTGAATGAGGAGTACATCTGAAATCAGTGTCAGCATGTGTGTAATGAGGTATATTTATTTGCTGCAAGTGTTTTTTGTTGTTTTTTGACTCTCCATCTTCTTCTGAGTTTCTGTTTCTCTCGATCTTCACTATCTGTATGTGTGTCTTCTCATTAACTCCCTTTTTGATGTCACTCCTTGCCTCCCCTTTTGTAACGCTCTAACACCACTTGTCACCCATCTGACCAATTTCTGTCCCCCTCACAACCCACTCAGTTGCGCCTGTGCTACACCTCATACTTCTCCTTCCCAAATAACCCACATTTGTCTTCCAACTCAGCTTATTGAAGTGGTCTGGGTGCACTGTCCCAGGTCCCTTAAAGGGATCCTATAGTGCCAGGAAAACAAACCTGTTTTCCTGGCACTATAGGTCCCTACAGTGCACCCCTCCCTCGCCACCCCTCTCCCGTGGGGTTGAAGGGTTAAAACCCTTCCCCTTCAGGAAGCTGTCACTTTCTCCCAGCCGACTGATATAACAGGAGTCCGGTCAGGCTTATAAAGGGCTATGGCACCTGTCCATCGATAATATCTAACAGGTGGATACTTTTGTAGGGGGCATTTATCATATATAATATACAAGTAATAACACTCTCATGCATTGTGTGTTTGATATTCAGGATATTCTATATGACTTGCAGGTGTCAGGGAGTCTCATTAAAATTGTGGGAGTCTCCCGGAGCTACCGGGAGGCTTGGGGTGTGTCAGGGTATTTATATCGGCAGACATTTTGTGCTATGATAGAAACTAAAAGTGTATATTCTGAGTCACTCTGAATAGACCAGACTCCATTTTGTTATTTTCAAGTTAACAAAAAGACACAAGATTTCTTTCTGTAAGACTAGCCACTTTGCCAGAGCTAAAGGAATGCATAGTATAAACAAGTGATAAGAAGAATATAATCAATTCTAAACCCAGACAATTGTGACAGAGAAGATTAAATAATAAAATTTAACTGTCTATACATATAAGGTCCCATTGTAAGTTACGGGTCAAAACTCAGATTGCCAGACACATAGTCTGGACAAAACTTAAATAAACCCTTTGATCTGTGAAGGATACGTAAGTTATGGCCACTATCTAGATAGGCAAAATGACGTCAAAATAGCCACCAGGAAAAGTTAACTCCTGGATAGGTATGTTTAGTGGGACAAGACTGCCCTCTATAGACCAAATACCTAATTTGCGATCTGGAAGATAACCACACCTCTAGTACTTCTATTGGGTTATCAACTGATGACGTACAGAGAGTCTGGCCCTTTAAAAGTTAAGACAAAGGGAAGATAGAGAAGGCAAGATATGCAAGGGGATGCAAAGGAGAAAGAAAAAGAGGAGAGAGGAATTGGAAGTTTGGGGACTCCAACTCGGACATGCAGAGAAACTCAGGACAACATCTGAGACTAACACTCTACTCTTAAAACCTCTAACACTTAGAATTTTACTGACTTTCTAATCAACACCACCTTTCACCATAACTCATGCAGAGAGACATACAAATAAGTTCCTGAGACTATCTACCAATCGGATGAAATATCTACTCAACTGGTAATTATACTGGTTTCATTTAATTAATTAAAATGTATTAATAGCATTATATATGACTGGATAAAGCACGGTCAGATTTCCATATTAAGAAATCTTAGTTAACTAAGAATATATCGTTATAAACATTCCATTCTGCAGGTGGAATTAAGAATAATTATATATTGATGTGATATTATCACGTGTTAGCATACCGCTGTTTTTATCCAGGTGTATTGATTTGCTCTAAATTAAGATAAGATATCTTTTAGACAAATTAAAATCTGCTTATATAATATGGTAGATTCTCTTATTGGATGGTTCCAGGAAATGACTAATGAACTGGTTTAAATGTTATTTTATTTAAAATTACATAAGAATAGATCTTAATTACCTAGGAGATCTAGCCAGCATTGAAAGGGTTATTCTAACTGTCAGCTAAACTTTACGACCTTACGCTGCACTCTGAGGAATTCTGTTCTTCGCTGTGAAAAGTTTCACTTTCAGTCTGTGTTAAAGATAGTCATAAATAAAGTCTTGACGGAAAATGCTATTTAGCCATTGAAATCTGTATAGCCATTCCTTTGTATTGCATACCATTTTATACTGGATATTCATTGATTATTGTCACGCATGTTACATATTATTATTATTAATTAACTTGTTATTATAAATAAAATCTATTTTTATAACATTGTGAATATTATTTATATGGTATACATTTCACTTAACACGATAATGATATTTGGGATCTGAGAATTGAATTAGTGGGCAATTCTCAACTGTTACTATTATTATCCCATAAATATCCCCACAGGTGTCTGATGTATGACATCTCCAGTGGCACCCTTGTAAGTATGCATGTTTAGGTGAGTGCAGCCCACTTGGTTTCCGTTATGTATGCTAAATCAATAGTTAAAGAGCTATTTAGTGTAAGCAAAAAAATAAAAATATACTGTATGTTTGGTAATTACAGTGATACTTTACGTTACAGGAAATCTACTGGCACATAAATATTACAACACAGCTGTGTTTGATATAGTGTCAGGAGTGTCGTGGCACCCTCTCCCTACCCCCTCAATTAGAAATAGTCAAATCATTTTAGAACAGTTTGACTTTTGTACCTGGGGTCCACTGGGCTCTACATCCCGCCTCCTCTTGCTCCTCCCTGCTTTAGTTAGCTCTCCTGAACTAAGTACTGCAAATTCTGATTGCTCTCAGCCAATGGCTAAGCCCTGCACCTCTGTTAGTTATGGTGTTTGGAATGTTTGTTTTACACTACCACCTGTTACCCCTTTAGTAAATGAGATGTCTCTTAACATTTCTTTTGTATGCTGCATTGTTATAACATAATGCTGTAATCTATCAGTGTCTTGACTTGCTGATGGCAACCATGATCTCTATTTCTTGTTTCTGAACTATGTATTTTTAACTCAGCTAATCTGCTTCTGCTGTGTGCTAGTTTCTATTCCCGACCTTGATCTCCTGTCTTTAGTATTATGCTTCCTTTCCTTGCATGCACTGTGTTCTCTTTTATGCTACTGACCTCAAAGTGTCGGATTCAAAATAATATCTGGACTTACTTGTTCAAAAGCTCTCTGACTTTTGACCACATGCATTTTACAGACTTCACCTTAATATTTATAAATGCTGATACACAGGGCCGGATTAACATAGGGGCTGATGGAGCTGCAGCTCCAGGCCCAGGCCCAGGCCCATGGAATAGGCCCATTGACTGGTATTTTACGGCACAGCCAGTATTTGAGGCTGCCTGGCCAGGACGGTATTGCAGTAATACCGGCTATACAAAAGCATATAAATGGAGATTACTCTGCAATACCAGCACCGGCCAGTAGGGGTCACTCTATATGGAGAGAGGCAGGGATAGGGAGTTACAGCATCTCCCTGCCTCTCTTTACTCACTGGGAGCAGTTACACAGCACAGAGAGTCCAGACAGCAGCTCCCAGCCTGCAGAGATAGACTACAGCTCAGGTATGTGAGGCATGAGGGGAAAGGCAGCAGGGAGACATGGGTACACTGAGACACTAGGGGACACATGGGGACACTGAGACACTAGGGAACACTGGGAGATGTGGGGACACTGAGACACATGGGGACACAGACACTAGGGGACACTGTGAGACATGGGGACGCTGAGACACATAGGGAGACACATTGGGACATGGAGACACTAAGGACATGTCTCCCAGTGTCCCCATGTCTCCCAGCCAGTGTCCCTAGTGTCTCAGTGTCCCCATGGCTCCCAGTGTCCCTATGTCTCCCAGTGTCCACAAATGTCTCTGTCCCCATGTCTCCTAGTGTCCACATGTCTCCCAGCCAGTGTCTGTGTCCCCATGTCTCCCAGTGTTCCCATGTCTC